GCTACAGTGTAGCTTAGCACCATCAGTGTAAAGAGCTGCGGCTGCAGTGTAGCTTAGCACCATCAGTGTAAAGAGCTGCGGCTGCAGTGTAGCTTAGCACCATCAGTGTAAAGAGCTGCGGGGTCCAGACGGACCTGATAAATCAGAAGTTCAGTCCATTCATTTGAAATAAAAACTTTATTATTCATGTTTAGTTTGAACAGAAATGATTTAAACTGTGAAACTTGAAACCAGCTGCTTTAAAGAGCAAACAGCTGAAAACTGCTGGAGACTTTTATTGTGAAARGCCCGCACCGGAAGCAGTGATAAACCTCAGACCAGATCCACGTCAGTCCCAGAGCAGACCGGACCGGAGACACACGGAACATGGCGGACGAGGCCACGCGCAGGACCGTGTCGCAGATCCCGCTGCTGAAGACGCACGCGGGGCCGCGGGAGCGCGCGCTGTGGCCGCAGCGGCTGAAGGAGGAGTACCAGGCCCTGATCCGGTTCGTGGAGCAGAACAAGGCCGCCGATAACGACTGGTTCCGTCTGGAGTCCAACGCGGAGGGCACGCGCTGGACCGGGACGTGTTGGTTCGTGCACGAGCTGCTGCGCTACGAGTTCCGGGTGGAGTTCGACATCCCGGTCACGTACCCGGACACCGCGCCCGAGGTGGCGGTACCGGAGCTGGACGGGAAGACGGCCAAGATGTTCCGAGGCGGGAAGATCTGCCTCACCGAACACTTCGCGCCGCTGTGGGCGCGCAACGTGCCGCGCTTCGGGCTCGCGCACCTCATGGCGCTCGGGCTCGCGCCGTGGCTCGCGGTGGAGGTTCCGGACCTGATCGGTAAAGGGCTTGTGGTCCACAAGGACCGGCCGCGCGAGGCGGCGGAGTGACGTCACCAAGCYGATGTGTCAGACTGTACTTGTGTCTGTGGTTGATGACGTCACTGAGAAGCGACTGATGTGAAAACTAATAAAAGAGTTCTGAAAACAAACTGGACCTGAATTTAATCATTAAAATCAACAAGAACCCGGACCGGTCTGGAGTTCTGGTTCTGGTCTCAGACCGGTCTGGAGTTCTGGTTCTGGTCTCAGACCGGTGTGGAGTTCTGGTTCTGGTTCTGGTCTCAGACTGGTGTGGAGTTCTGGTTCTGGTCTCAGACTGGTGTGGAGTTCTGGTTCTGGTTCTGGTCTCAGACCGGTGTGTGACAGGAGCTGTGGTTCTGGACCAGGTTCTGGTTCTGATGGAACAGACAGAACCAAAGACCTAAAATAGATGAGTGAAGATGTTCGGACCCCATGATAAGAACCGGACCCTCTGGACCCGTCAGGTTCTGTTCTGTGGTTCTCCAGATGTGAACATCTGCACCAGATGGTTAGTTTCTAAACGAACAATGTAAACAAACGTAAACGATGTAAACAAACGTAAACGATGTAAACATGTAAACAAACGTAAACGATGTAAACATGTAAACAAACGATGTAAACATGTAAACAAACGTAAACGATGTAAACATGTAAACAAACGTAAACGATGTAAACAAACGTAAACGATGTAAACATGTAAACAAACGTAAACGATGTAAACATGTAAACGATGTAAACATGT